ATTCTTGGCAAGTCTCAGCTCGTAATCAGCCTTAGCCTTGCAAAGAATCCTTCTGCAATGGGCCTCCTCCTCCCGGTATACCCTTTTGTCTATTTGCCCCAGTACCCATTTCCTATGGAGGGTCCTCTTTCATCTAATCCCTCTAACCACCTCCTTTCGCATCCATGGCGGCACTCTCCTCCGCCTCCCCACCTTACTGACCAGAGGTATCGTCAAGGCTTGAGCCCCAAAACCTCCCTTTTGAGTGCTATCCACCCCTCCTCAACTCACTTACCTTCCAGTAACCTATCCCAGGAGACTTTCCCCAGTCTGGCCTTCAGTTGGCCAAAGTTGAAGTCCCAGCTTCTAGTGCTCGACCTGCTGCCTGTCTGCAGTCCCCTGATCTCAAACCAAAGGGTGGAGTGATCACTCGCATCCAGAGCTCCCCTAATCTGTACTTCATCTATCAGCTCCTCCCTATTAGTCAAGACCAAGTCAAGGATGTTTCCCCCCCTCATCGCCTCTCGGACCCTCTGTGTGAAAAACCCTCCCTCAATAGCTTCTAGGAAGCGACGTGACCTGGCTGTCACCGCCAAGTGAGTCTCCCAAGTAAAATCCAGGAGATTGAAATCTCCCATAATTACTGTGTCTCTCCCCTGAGATATCCTTAGAATCTGGCCTGTCAGGACATCATCCAGGGTCTCAAGTTGACTTGGAGGGCGATAACATACCCCCACTGTCAGGTCTCTTTCCCTGTCAAAACCCCTAAGTTTCACCCAGACTGCCTCTACCGAATCCCCATCTGTGCTGCATTCTATCTCACTGCATCCTATCCCTTCCCTGACGTATAAAGCCACGCCCCCACCTCTCTTTCCCTTCCTGTCCTTTCTAAAAAGGTGATACCCTTCTATGTTCACATTCCAGACTTGCCTTTCATCCCACCAACTTTCTGTGATTCCCACCAGATCATACCCTCTTATTCCCAGGAGTGCTTCAAGCTCTTCCTGCTTATTACCCATGCTCCTAGCATTGGTGTCCATGCACCTCAACTCCTTCCCACCACTTCCTTTCCTTGGAGTCCCCAGCCTCCTCCTTCCTCCCATCCTCCCTCATACCTGGCCCCTCTCTGTAGGAGTCTTGTCAGTCCCTGCAGTATCTCTAAAACCCTGCTCCCAGAGCCCTGATCCTCCCCCGACACTTGTCCAGTGCAGACATGTTACTGGGAGGCCTGAATCTACCCCCCCCCCCAGCTCAGTTTAAAGTCTTCCGGATGAAGCTTGCTACAGCATCTCCAAAGGACCTTTTCCCCATCCTCGTGAGGTGTAACCCGGCCCTTGCCAGAAGTCCATTGGCAAGAAAACGAGTGCTGTGGTCGAGGAACCCAAAGCGTTCCTTCTGGCACCACACCCTAAGCCAGTCGTTCACCTCAGAGGCCCTCCTGTCCCTTCCTGGCCCAAATCCCTGGACAGGTAAGATTGATGAGAAGGCCACTTGGGCCTTCAGCTCCCTGAGTTTCTTCCCCAAGGCCTCAAAGTCCCTGGTGGTCCCAACCACATCCTGCCTGGCCACATCGTTTGTGCCCACATGGATCACCAGGAGCAGCTGGTGACCCCCAGAGCGAACAAGACACTCCACTCTGTCCTTCACATGCCGGATGCATGCGCCCGGCAGGCAGCAAACCTCCCTTGTCTCCAGGTTGGGGCAGCACACCACTGCCTCAGTACCCCTCAGCAGGGAGTCCCCAACAACCATCACCCGCCGCCGTACCTCCCCAGTGCTGGTGGGCGGCCGTGCCCTGGCCCTCGCCTCTCCCACAGCGGCCCCCTTGCCGCCTGATGTCCCAGGCTGGGGGTCCTGCTGGTCCCCCGAGGCCTCATCAGCCCCAGCCTCCCCAAGTGGAGAGAACCTGTTTCCCAGCTCCACATTGGTGCCAGGAAAAGGAGGCGGCCGTGCTGGCCTCCTCCTCCTGTGGGTGACATACCTCCATGCTTCTGCAGCTGCTCCTCCCGTGGACTCTCCCTCAACCCTCTGTCCAGAGGGGGGCTGCTCCGGGGGGGCCTGGAGAGCTCTCTCGGCCCTCAGGCACCTCACCTCCTCTTCTAGCAGGGTCACCATCTTGCACCGAGGGCAAGTGTATCCCTGCCTCTCCTGGGGGAGAAGGGCGAACATGTCGCAGCTCTCGCAGCGGACAGCAACACCCGTGACTCCCGCCAAGGCCATCTCCTGGTCTGCCATCGGTATCCCTTCCGAGACCTTACCTTGGTCCCCTGCCTTGTTAGTCCTGCAGTTCCTCTCACTCGCCCAGTTCTCCCAGACAAAAACCCACTCGCACACACACACAAGGATAAAATAAACTTAAATTTAAATTGGAAGAAAACCAAAGCAAAGCACAAACAAAACAAACGAACAAACAATCAAACCTCTGTGTCTCAGGGAAGGGAGTCTCCGGGCAGCCCGGGCCGCAGCCAAGGGACGACGCCCCACCCCTCTGCTCCCTCCCGGCTGCTCTAGCCTCCCTGGCCCCGCCCCTTCCTCTGTGCTGCTCCTGGCCCTCTGCTCCGCCGCCCAGCTCCTACCTTGCCTTCGCCAGTCCCCTGGTCACTCTGCACTCTCTCCCAGCCTCTGCCTCTGCCAAGAAACACCTTCCACATGGGGTCTCTCTCAGTGGGCCCTGCTATGGCCAGCTTCTTTGCAAGGAACCACTTTGCAGGGAGTACAAGGGCAAGGACCACCTCCCTTACATGCCAGCTTATCTGTTTGTTTTTAGAGACCTGGAGGGGTTGCTGTCCCCCACTGGGCTTGAATATGTGCCTGAGAAAGCGGTTATGGAACCAAGTGGGGAAGTCTTGGTGGAGAAGCAATTGGTGTAGTTCTAGGTGGCACGAGAAAGGGCATTTAGAGAAGAGTTAGCCAGGTAATAAGAATATGGCCCAGGCAATTAACGACTGTTTCCTATTCCAGCCCTTACTACTGCAGATTTGGTGATTCCCCTATCAAACTGCCCTTGGGTTTCCAGATGCTGCTCCTAAATGTTACATTGGTGTAGAGTAAGACCTCCCTCATCCATGATTTAATAGCGAATGAAGCAGTTGATCTGGCATTCTCTCTAGCTTGTAAGGTCAGTGGGACAGAGTGGGGTTTCTGCTGGTGTACTGCCCATCCTGCAACCAAACAGTCTCTCTACCCAAAGTGACAGAGGCAGTTTTGGTTGCAACATCTTGGGGGATGTTAGCATCCTTGCCAAAGGAATCCTATCTGGGGCTGCTCAGGATTTCATGGACTTCATGCCAACTGTGAGACTGCCCTAACATGTCATCAGCCCAGCACATGCAAAAAGGCTCATCCTGGATTTGTTTTTTGTTTTGTTTTAATCCAGGCATAGATATAATGATCTGAAGGTGGAGGACTTTGAATCATTACTTTGTCATGATCAGATAACTTAACCTACTGCTGATTTTCCCCTCTGCAAGGGTAGGGGAACTATCAAAATGGTCCACCCCCAGAGATTAATCATTTGCCAAACACTTTGAGGAGAAAATTTACTGCAACCACTGGGACTTCAACTCCAACATTACAGCAGACAAAGCAGGCAAAGGACTGAGAGCACAGCCAGGTCATTTTTTCTGGATGCAGTTCAACTGTTACAGCATGTTAACAAGGTTAACATGGCAGGTTATACAATCATCCATCCTGGATCACTATCCCATCTGGCTTATAAAAACTACCAGGGAGGGGTAAGTTGGCTAGTTCTATGCCCCCTTGTAAGTAGAAGTGGTCTCATGTTACCTGAAATAGGCAGTGGTAAGGCCACCCCTGAAGAAACATTCTTTGGTCCCAGGAAGATCTCAACAATTTTAAGCGGGTGGTAAAACTTCCTTTCTTAAGCAGTTTTGAATAAATGCCCAGGTGCTCTTGAATGAGACTGATTAGCTGAATCCATTTGAGTTGGGATTCAGGCTGGGTTTTGGTATGGAAATAGTTTGATTACTCTGTATGATGACCTATATCGGGAGAGAAAGAGGGCAATGTGACCCTGCTTATACTTCTGGATCTCTCTATAGCTTCTTATACTACTGACAGTGGTATCCTTCAGGGGTGGCTGGCTAAGATATGGATAGGAGTGGATATGCATATGCAGTGGTTCCACTCTTACTTGGATGGTCAACTCCATAAGGTGGTACTTGGGAAATACAGCTCTGCCCATGGACTCTCCAGTATGGTGTTCCTCAGGAGTTGCTTTGTTCTCCATGCCATTCAACATCTGCATGAAACAGGGTCATCCTGAGCAGGGTCATCAGAAGTTTTGGTATAAGTTGCATTCAATACACTGATGACACACAGCTCCATTTCTCGTTTTAATATTCAACAGGCTAGGCTGTGGATGTGCTAATTGAGTGCCTTACTTTGACAACTGAATAACAAACTGAAGCTCAATCCAGACAGAACTGAGATGCTACTGGAGGAGGCTGGAGGATGGAGGCTGTTCAACCTGTTCTCTCCTCTTGAAAGATCTTGGGGATATTCCTGGAGCCATCTTTATCACTTGATGCTTAGGAGCCTCAGGGGGACAGAGGGTCTTCTAACAGGTCTGGCTAATGGTCCAGCTGTGCTCCTATCTGGACAGGGATGGCCTGGTCTCAGTAATCTATGCTCTGGTAATCCTGCAGAATAATTTAGTTTACTGCAATGCACTCTATATGGACTGCCCTGAAGAATATTTAGAAGTTGCAGTTTCTGCAAAATGAGATGGCTAGACTAATAAACAGGCCCAGAAGATCCAAACATGTAAGACCAATTTGGACCACTTGCATCGCCTGCCCATTTCAACATGCTGTTTTACTCTATAAAGCCCTACAAAATTGGGGCCACAATGCTTGGCAGAACGCTTCTTCCTACTGCAATTTATTTGTCACTTAAATCAACATCCAGAGCCTTCTTCCAATTGCCACCTCTAAAGGAAGAGTCTTTCCAATGGTGGCCCCCCCATATTATTTATTTCATTAAACTTTGGAACAAGCTCCCCACTAAGGCTCACCTATACAGAGTAACTCAAAAGTAAGTCCCATTATAAACTATGGGTTTTCCTCCCTAGTAAACAGATGGGGGGGGGGGCTAGACAGTAAAGTGGGGGACCATGCTGGAAGGCAACAACTTCATTTTCGGCCTATGCCCACTGCCCACAGGCTATGCTGCGAGACAGGCTTTTGACACACACAGAATGCGTCTTCTCTGAGGGTCGCTCTAAACTCGCCAGACCCTCCGTCACGCCCTTTCCGTCTCCACTGCCCATCCTTTGCCCTAGAAACGGCTTAATGGGGAAGCGAAGACGCAAGTCATTACACCCCGCACGCTCTCACCTGCCCCAAACGAGGATGCACGCGGGTGGGCGGAAGGCGCGGCGGCAGGGCCCCTCCGCCTGCTCCTCCTCTCGCGCACTGGAGCAACGAGCTACCCAGCCGCTTGGGGCTGCCCCATTGCTGTCTGTTCACAACCCAAAGCTCCAAAAGAAGCACCGCCCACGCCGAGAAGAAAGCGGGTCGGCTCTACGACAGGCTCCGCAGCAACGCCCAGCCAATCGGCCGCCGCTCTCCGCTTGGTAACCGGGGGATGCGGCGCGAGACTCCGCCCAGTGCTCGCGGAAAGCAGGCCCGAGCGAGACGGGAGGGCAGGGTGCGAGGGGTGGGCCTGATCAGCTCCCCGCCCCTCCCCCCGACCCAAAGCTGGGACATGCTATTAACCCATTGCGGACCATGGATGTGCTCCGGTTTACATAGCTAGAAAGTGAACTCATGATCTCTGAAGAGGCTTACGGGAAAATGTTGCGATTTGTTGTAATTGTTTTTGCGGACGTTTTGTGTGCATTTTGTTTTACTTTATTTTATGCTCGTCTTATACTTTATTGTATTTTTCATTTATTGTCGTTTTATTGCTGTTAGCTGCCTTATGCATCTTGATTGGTTGACAAATAACGACTGCACGGAGTGTTTCTGAATGTGCTGCCTTGCGTAAGGATACAAAGTGCTTTCTTGGATCAGGCCAATCAATGTCCTCTGTGTCCAAGAGACTTTTCCCGAAACCCAGCAACTACCGTATTTCCCCGAAAATAAGACTGCGTCTTTTATTATTTTTTGCTCCAAAAGACGCATTAGGACTTATTTCAGGTGATGTCTTATTTTTTATGTACAAAAATCTACATTTATTCAAATACAGCCATGTCATCTTCTGGAACTTCGTAACTCTCCAAACCCTGAATTGTGTTGCAACGGGCCTACTAAATGCGTCCGTCTGGCTGACTATCTTAACTGGGGCTTATTTTAGGGGTAGGGCTTATATCACGAGCAGCCTGAAAAATCATGCTAGGGCTTATTTTCTGGTTAGGGCTTATTTTCGGGGAAACAGGGTAGCAGGCGCTAAGCAGCCTGCCAGAAATTGACTCCTGAGCCACATCTCCCTTACAGTCTGATGCTATAGGTATTTACTCAGGAGTAATTCTTGCTTTACCATGTAGAGTATTCTTGTCTTGCTGCTCATTTCTTCTGAACCTCTTGAATTTATATTGTAAACTTGTGAGAAGTTGGGCCTTTGGCTTATTCTACATTGTGAAGTGCAATACACACTAATATGTATTAGCAACTAGTAAAGGATATCATTCAGGAGGCTTTGTTTTAGATTTTCTCCTGTTGAAAATGCTAAGGAGTCCTGAATATGCACGCCAACAAATTGCATTCTAGTATATCAATCTTAACAGCATTTATGTTTTCTTTTAATATTATTCTGGACACCTTAAATTGGTTTCTAGCACAAATTCTTTCATACTGTGCTTCACTCTTCAAAGGAAATAATACACTCTGTTGTCTTTCCCATATTCCTTGGTTCCCCTGGAATGTGGAATTGAAGAATTCATTTTTAAGTGTGAGTTGGTTACTGCCCAAAATTTCTAAAGAAAGTGAAGTGGAGGCTCAAAAACCAACTAAGTTACACTATCAGCTAGAAGTCCCTTTTTCCACACTCCAGATGTATAAAAACTTAATGTGCGTAGATGTAAGGATATGGCTCTTATACTCTTATACTTAGAGTTATGTCATAATATTAAGAGTTACCTCTTTTTGATTGGCAGTAATAATACACACTCTTGTAGTACTGCTACTGTTCTCCAACAGAGGATTGTACTATTAACAGCTCTGGTATGCATAAATTCAATAGATACATCTTTTCATTTGCATGCCAGCTGATGTGACAACTTTCTGGATTTCACAGTGCCTTTACAGATTTGGTTCTCTATTGGGAAACAAAGTGGTCAAACTTGGCTGGCCTTGGAGATACACAGCAGTTAAGACTTGTATTGTCACTTCCTCAAAACCAAGCTGCACTATCACTCACAGATTTTCTTTCCCAAGATCCTCCAGCAGACCTAAGTTGCTTCTTCCCTTACTTGGTTTTAATACCTGCATGCTATTAACATGGTTCTCATGATAAGGAACAGCAAAACAAAAATCAACAAAATCTCATTAAAATTGGCCACAGAAGATGCACAAGAGCAATAAAAGATATTTTAGCCAAATAATCTGATATTCTGTTTTGAGGAACATTTTTAATGATTTGTGTTTTAAATCATGTGTTGTAATATCTTTATATAGTAATTATATTAAGTTTGTCAACTAGCAAAACATACACATTACATTAAAAACCCATTAACAGTTAATAGAAATTTCACTATATTAATAAACTTATATTTATTCACAGTAGTTCACTGGGGTACCCTGGGCCCAAGCTGTTTAAGGTTTTACATGTTAAAAGAAGCACTTTATTCAAATGCATCTTTCCATATCTGTCTATGATGTCCTGGTATTTTTCTCTGGAAAACTTATTAATAAAGTCAATACTTTTCTACCAAGCAGTCTTTGTTGCCTTTGTGACTTTATTTTTTCAGTGAAAATGTTCCAAAGATTGTACCACACAACCATTGACAGATAGATTCTGCCCACTACTTTGCTATTACTTATTGGCAGGTCTTTTGTAAGAATGGTGCCACCACAGACAAAATCTTGTCCTTGTTCCCACCTGCTTCATCTCAGATGGTGGCAGGATCCTGAAGCAATTTTTTTCTGCAGATCTCAGTACTGGAGCATGAAGGACCAATAACTATTAGGTATTCTTGCTTAATTTAGGAACTGGAACTTTCAATTACATTCTCTCACTGAGGATTTTTTCCCACCATTTATGCAGAAACCAGGATACACCAAGCAGTCTCTGAATAAAATGTGAAGGAAAGACAACAATCCCTCAACATGCTTTGGATACATGCCACAAGCCAGAGTCAATAGGTTTCTCATCAAGTCTAGTGCATGCTTCTGCTTGACTGGAAATAAGTGTTCTTCCTTGACACTTTTTGAGCTTAGATACAGCAAACATCAACAGTGGTGTCAGTTGATTAAAGGACCTGATCCACTGAATTATTAAACTTTTTCCTCTGTGTAATGGTGTCAACAACAAGAAAAATACAGTGGTACAATTTCATGACCAAATCGAGTCACAAACAGAAATTTCAGAAAAATTTTGCCTCAGGTCATGAACTCTGGACCAGGTGACAATTGCGATTGCACCATCTTCCCTGCCTGAGCGCAACCGCGATGTTGCACTCATGCAGGGAACATGGGTGCAATTGCGGTTCTGTGGGGGTGGGGGGAGATGGGTGCAATCATGCTGGGGGTGTTGTGCTGTGATCTTTGTTTTTCTTTGTCACTTTGCTTCAAAATTTTGTGATTAATAAAATAGTTACAGAACGGATTAACCTTATCTAAGTTAAGAAAATTATGGGGAAATTTGACTTGGCTCACAACCAATTTGGGTCACGACCAGAGTTGTGGAATGGATTAAGTTCATGAGCCAAGGTACCACTGTATGTGCTCCAGTTTATTGCAGAACAAAGGAAAGAATACTTTTTACCAAAATGAAGATTGATCTTGGTATTGAAAAGGTGTGATATTACTTGAATTTAAGACATTAAAAGTTGTTAATACTGTACTTTTATCCAGTTACAGGATATGTGTTGGGAAAGGCATACATTACATTATGGGTTGCTGGCTACTATGTTTTATTTATTAAATGCATATACTGTATCCAATAGTCCCACACAGGACCCCTGGGTGATGTACAACAGCAACAAAAACAACTTATAAATATTATACAAATAATATTTAAAATTTTAAAACCTGTTAAAACAACACAACTATTACTGCTACACAGTGCCTTTAAAATTACTCTAAACCAATATAGTGAAATAGAACTCACTAAAATTTTTCATACAATCAATCAACTCAAAATTAAAAGTAATTTAATATTTACTAAAATATTTAGTAATTTAATGTTAAATTTAATAGTAATGTAAATTATTAAAAGTATTTTAATATTGTCAATTAATGAAACGTTTAAATGCCTGGAAGATAAAACTGCTTTTGCCCTCATTATAAAAGATTGTAATGAGGGCATTAAGCAAATCACTTTGGCAAACCACGTTGGGGAGCTGTTTCCAAAGATAGGGCACAACCACTGAGAAGGCCCTTCTTCTATTTGCCATCCCCTGCACGTCCCTCAGAGATGACTCTTTGAGAAGGGCCTCTGAATCAGATCTTAACACATCTTTAAGAGGATCGTATCAGTCCTCCCCTTCTAGTAGTATATTGTAAATTTTACTTGTCATTCCTTTCATCCATGTATTATTTTACTTTCTGTAAAATTATATCTTCAAATTTAGTATATTTGCTGCATTTCCCATTTTTCTTCAACCAGTCTTTAGTCCAATGATATAATTGAAGTATATCATACCAAGTCACCTTACCT